GGCTGTGCTTAAGGAGGTGGTGCAATTATTTGTCCTCCATCCGGGATTGAGTATTCGATTTGTAGGTCGGCGTAGTAATAGGGTAGCCCACTTGGTGGCTAGGAAAGCCCTGTCGTTGTACCCGGCTACTTGTTGTAGTTTTGATTTTCAGGCCTGGCTGTGTTCCAGGATGTAACTATCTTCTTTTATTGATTAATATATATCTTTTGTCAAAAAAAAAAAAATCAATTTCCTTTGTTATTAAACTAAATATTCATCAAATCATCAATTTGCATTACGGGTAGATTTTGTAAGAAAAATTAATTTTACATAATAATTTAACCAAATGCGAGCTTTTTTCATAACTTGATTTAATTATAAGATCAAAGAAGGTCAATGCAATAATGTTCTATAATAATTATGTAAATGAAGAATACAGTATGTAAAACTTATAAAGGGATCAAAGCTAGTCTTAGTTTAAGATTTTTAAGTCTTTCATACGAATCTAAATCTAATCTAAACCAATACTATATGGAGGTTCTCCTCCAAAACCCCAACAATCTCAAAATATTATAGACTCCTCCGCAAAGGACGGTGGGACATATTGGTAAATCCAATTTTATGCGCAGCAGTAAAGTGGATGCGAAAGGCCAGGGGATACAATATTTATGGGCCATGTACAGACCCAGTAAAATGACTACGGAATGGGCTTTAATTAATGTGAGTTCTTAATTCCACATGAGAGCAGTTAAAGAATGATAGTTTTCTTCTAGGAACTCTTCTTCCCCAGCATCCGATTTTTTCTAGCCAGGTAGGCTTCATTTAAATTGTGTTACACGTATCTAAATCATATATATATCCAGTACAAAACTTGCCTAATAGTTATTTTACATTCCTTTAAATTTTTAATAGATACTGATGTCTCACTATCAAACACTATTAATAAAATACATTTAAAAACTTGCTTATTAGATTTTACATTAAAAAGTGAATGTAAGTACAAATATTTTTATTAGCATAATTATATACATCTTACAATTTAATGTATGTACATGTCATGTGTTGTTCAAGAAAAAAGAGGTTATTTTTATACACTAGAAGGTGTGGTGGATTATAATCGGTCTCTATCTAAAGTGCAGAAAAATTTCCTTATGTTACAAATATCGATGAATCATCAATTGATCATAATCTTTCTAACTATTTCACACTGTTTGATCTTAGAAAGCTACCACTATCCATTTTACATTTTTAGAAATTGATGCAAATAAGTCCAGAGTTTAAGAGAATTAATCAACCATTGACCAAATTAGCAAGAAGGAAACGTGCTCTTTATATAAGGTAAAAGCATATATATGGAAAACAATTTGTCAACATTCCTACTGACAATCCATTATTTTCATGTTTATTTTTGTTTTATATGCTATAAAATTATGTGTTAGATGCTAGGATTGCTTATTTTAATAATTCTTATACCTGACGTCAAAATAAGATGAATAACTTACAAACTAAGAGAAATAGATTGTTGAGATCCACCAAACTTGCTGAAATTCGTCATAACCGTCTTTGGGTGATTCGATATGGAGACTTTCCAGGTTTATGAATATTTTAATATGCTATTACAAGCAAACACTTCAACAGAACATCACTTTTTGGAACATATCTGAGACTATAAAGGGGTGTTCGCATTAAATTCTATTGTCGGTAAACTTGACTGATCTATAAATAATGGACAATGAGTATATGTTTATTCGATTGAAAGTCCAATATATCATCGATTTAGTAGGTTGGTACCTACTTAAAAGAACATACCAAAATTTTCTCTACTTCTATGACACTGGCAATGAACTCCAAAACATGTTAGTTTTTTTTCTCCATAGATCCAACTTCAAATCCTTTGCGCGATTCAATTATTCAACAATTGCAGGAGATGTTAGATTTAAATAATATCCTAGAAAAGACATTTCGATCTGCAAGGGATAGACAAAATGACACCACTGTTTAGCAAGTTGAAATTAAGTTGCTTGCTAAAAGATATGGGGATGACAGAGAATATGATTTGCCATCTAAAAATGAGGTCGCTGCTTTAACTGTTGATGATAATGGAGAGCAATCATTTTCTTCTTATATTGTTGTCCATTATCAAAGTAATGAACCGGAACAAATTAGTATATATCATCCAAGTTTATTGGCTTTGAAATATCTCAAATTATTACCACATGGCAAGGATGGTTGGCATCCAAATATTCCACATTATGGCATTGAGGATGCATATAGATACAATGAGAAGAATGTGACCCAATGTGATTTTTACAGTTATAGACTCCAACAAGACTAGAAGAATCAAACGCATTGCTATTTTGTGTAAAGTTGTTCCAGCAATATGTTGTCAATGCATATACATTAGTTGAGGCATAACGTTTGGGTTAGATTAAAAAAAATCAATCAAATTCGTGACAACATTACTACCAAGGTCTTTTGGATTCTTACTTGAGAGATGCTTCCGATACCAGTTTAAGTGGAAAACATGTGATTTTAGCTTCATCACATACATGTAGTCCTCGAAATTTGAGTCGTAAGAGATGGTGATGTGGCTGGGTAAAAACTCTTGAAATTTGAGTTCATGAGGTTTTAAATTGGAAAAGTCTTATTATATTATATTTTATATAGAAATAGATATTGATTCAATAATTTTACTTTAAGCATCCATGGTTCATTATTTTTTTCCTAACTATTATTTTATCGTTTTAATTATTATGAAAATTTTATTGCATATGTAATGACCATTGAATTGAAAAAACGTGTCTACCTCATGCTCATTTATTAGTTTTCTTTGCTGCAGAAGATAAATTATATAGCCCTTCATAATAGATTTAGTTATATTTTCTGAAATCTCATATCGTAAAGCAGATCTTGAGTGTTATGATGCAGTTACAAAATCTACGTTTCATGGTCCATGTGGTTTTCAAGGATCTAAAGCTCCATGTACAACTAATGGTGCATCTCTCTAAATATTTATCGAAGGAATTCTGCGGCCAAACAACTATTGATGGGAACTGTTTTGCTAGGTATCCGCTCTGAGAGAACAACAAATCGTATATGGTGAATGGAGTCTCACTAGATAATTGATTTGTTGCTCCTTCTAACAGATACCTATTGTTGTAATTTCATGCACGCATCAAAGTCGAATTTTGCAACAAATCAAGGTTAGTTATTCATCTCTTGAATTTTAAATATCCTCATTAAATTACTCTTATATAGAAAGGACTGTTTTGTCCTTTCAAATTAAATATTTTTAATAATAAAAAAAATGTTCCTATGTTAAAAATAGAGCATGAGCTTTTTGGACTATTTGTTAAGTATGAACCCAGAAAATAAAATCTCGGAATTTTTTAGATTATTTCCAAGTTTTTTTAATAACTGTTATATTGTTTAAAATTTAAGTCTCTTATCGAATAAATTTTGTATGGAACTTCTTATTATATAACAAAAAAAAGAAACAAAGTACATGAATCTTATACAACTACAACTACCCTTTACATAAAATGTTAAATTCAAGTAAACATGAAAAGGTAAAATTAGTGGATCCAGAAGCAGTTGTTCAGATTTAATTGCTCATATTAAGAGGGATGTCACCACATTGTTTGATGAGGAAAGTGTAGCAGAGTTTTGGCCAATCTGAATTTGTTACTCTTGGTTATAGGATTTGCACTTTTTGTTCCAGAGGTATAGCTGCATAGATATGTCGAATTGGTTTGGTTAGTTGACTGTTGCTTAATTGGCAGGGTTTGTTGCCAATAGTTTTGGTGATTTTTGATGATATACAAGTTAACCGATTCATAAAAAAGGTAAAACTGGAAGATAAACGACAACAATATTTTTTTTTTTTTGGAAATATGAAACTTCAATAATGATTATTATCAAATCCCAATGGACCACTGGGCTAGCTGAAATCAACAAAACTAAAAGAAAATTTGGATAAATTATAATTTTATCATGGTGGAGATAATGAATTTGGTGCTAGAGATGATGATGATGTTCAGAAGAAGAAATACATTGTTTATGAAGAAGATATCAAGACGGACGATGGGAAGAAAAAACAAATCCAACATATATTCATAATTTGGACAAGGTAATTTCTATTCTAATGAAAAAAAATGATTAATATTTGCAAATAAATTTTACCATCAAATTTTTGTGCTCAATGAAATGTATGAAAACAAGAAAGAGATAATTGAAATGCAAGAGAAGGAAGAGTCAATTGATATCGGAGATAAATGTGTCTGTAATGGAGATGAAGACATTACTAATATTTGACAATGAGGTTGTTGCTCATGTAGGAGGCAATGCAATCAAGCCAGAAAGAAAGCATGCAGTAATCTCTGACGATGAGAGTAATTAGAAAAGTCATTTTAATTGGTCTTTAGGAGTCGATTCCCTTGCACGAGATTTTTCTTTCATTTTCGTGAAAGGGTGTTAGTCCATTCGTCATTAAATGTCGAAAAACAATGTGATGTTGATCCTTTTGGATTGTTGAACTAATTCAATAATTTGGATTCTCTTATTCCCCAAATCGATTCGAACGTTTCAAGTATTTGAAGAATTTAGATTATCTTATACCAATGTGTTACTCGAATACAAAAAATCACTATTATTTACGTGATTGACAAATGAATCCGGCCGACTGGTCGGAACTGTGACTAGTTCTTTAGAAGATAAGTATGTTGGTTCTATCTAAACTGATTTTTTAGTCTTTCGGACCGGATATTCATTAATAATTAGTATACTATGGGGTAAAGTAGCATTCACTTCACAGGTTTACCCCACAGTCGTCTACTTGGACTAAAAACAGAGACAGTCCAAGCTAGTGAAGAAGACTCCAAGTGGCGTTGACTTCACACTGTCGTCCACTTTTCGTGTTTCACATTTCTAGCTTTGGCTTGATGTTAGATCAATTTGGTTCACAAATTAAGTCCCCTAATCATAAAGTGGCACGGAAGAGATTTCCCAAAACATCATCAATCATGGCATCTCGAGTGATAATCGCCACAACAGTTCTTCTCTGCTTTCTTCTTCACCTCCTTCCCCACTTCCCAGTACGCGCCACCACAATCTCCGGCAGCAACAGCAGCAGCAACGACGCCGGCCACCGTGACATCGACTGCCTGAAATCAATCAAGTCATCGATCGTCCTCGACCCACTCAACCGCCTGACGTCATGGGACTTCGACAACGACACCAACGCCGGACTCTGCAAATTCCCAGGAATCGACTGCTGGCACGCGAGCGACAACAAGGTCCTCGGCATCCATCTCCCCAACTTGGGTCTCGCCGGAGAATTCCCACGAGGGATTGAGAACTGCGATTCCATCACCAGCTTGAACCTCTCCGGAAACCAACTCTCCGGCCAAATCCCATCTGACATCGCCACAATGCTCCCCTTTTTAACCATCCTCGACCTCTCCAACAACAACCTCTCCGGTGAAATCCCGGCGAGCTTGTTCAATTGCTCCTACTTGAACGTTGTGAGGCTTGACAAGAACCGGTTGACGGGCCGGATCCCTGATGGGATTCATCAGCTTGACAGGCTGAGGAACTTCAGCGTGTCGCATAATTTGTTGTCGGGGCGCATCCCTGCTTTCGAGAGAATGCAGGGGATTTGGGCTGCGGGAAGCTTTGTCAACAATTCAGGGCTCTGTGGTGGTCCTCTGGATCCTTGTTCACCTTCTCCTGGTCCAACCAAAGCTTCCCAGTTTCTGGGTTTCTTTAGAAATGGCTTCATCGTTGGCTTCGCGGCGGTTGAGCTGTCTGTTTTGATCTATGTCTACTGGTTTTACATCCGTAATTCCAGAGGGAAGAACAAGGCCGGAGTTGGGATTTGCAGGCCCGTAGCCGATTATGGTCGCGGCAGGAATGTAAAGGTGTGTGTAATTGCTGCCATTTTTCAGTATATATATATATAGTTGTTACGAATTCAAATTTCAAAGCAATTGATTACGATTAAACTTCAGATATCCGTCCTGGAAACCCTGGTGACGAGGATGAGCTTCAAGGAACTCTGTGCAGCAACCTCCAATTTCAGCGCAGACAACATCATCGGCACCGGAACCACCGGAACCATCTACAAGGCAATGCTTCCCAATGGCTGGTTCCTAGCAGTCAAGCGCCTCCACCATCCAAGAGTAGAACAACACTTCAACAACCCCCATTGCTTCATCTCCGAGGTCATGACTTTAGGGAGATGGAGGCACCAGAACCTGCTACCGATCCTCGGATTCTGCATCCACAGCAGCGAGAAGCTACTTGTGTACAAGTACATGTGCAATGGCACGCTCCGCGACTGGCTTCTCGGTCACCAAGATCGCGACATGAAGTGCCTCGACTGGCCCGTGCGGTTCAAAATTGCAGTCGGGCTAGCCAGGGGATTGGCCTGGCTGCACCACTGCTGCAGCGTTCAGATATTCCACCTCGACCTCACTTCCGGGTGCGTGTTGCTGGACCAAGGGTTCGAGCCGAAGCTGTCGAATTTCGGGCGCGCCATGTTCGTGAACCCGAACGATCACGACCATCGGTCGGGGAATTTGGTGCTTGGTAAGGGGTTTTTGGAGCTGGGTTTCGCGAAGAAAGATGTTCACAGCTTTGGGGTTGTGGTGTTGGAGCTGATTGGTGGTAGAGAAGTAAGTGATGGCGAGAGTTTTGGGGGCCAAATTGATGAATGTGTGGCTGGGAAAGGTTGCGACGGGGAGATTGTTCAGGTGATGAGAGTTGCAAAGGATTGTGTTCAGCCGATGGTCGATAAAAGGCCGACGATGCTTCAAGTGGTTCAGAGGCTGACCCAAATTGAACAAGGGTGTTGCGGTTGCGGTACTGATGTGCAAGGTTATGAACCGGTTGTGGTTCCCTCAGTGGTGATTGAAATGGGCCAAGGCATTGGGTCTAAATATAGGTAAAGTAGTATGTAGATATGAAGTAAACACTATGACCTTAACCAACTTTTTGAGAGTACTAATTTGTCCTAATATCAAAATGTTAGATTCAAGTGAAATTGAATACATCCTCGATTGGAATGTGTAACGCCCCATCCGAAATCTTTATGGTTAAACTTATGGTTCATCCGTGCAGATGCAACAGACTCTATTGATGTTAAAGTTCACATTGAATGGAGTTAAATTACCGTTAAAAGTTGAAGAGGAGAAACTTCACCATAATTTGGTGTAAGATCCAACATCTTGAGATTTCAAAACTATTATCTTATTATTAGATCATCCAAAATTACACGACTAAACATTAGGCGATTTTGGACATTACTATAATACTAATAGTCTAATAGTTCAAATTTTGAAATCACTGAAAATCATGGAAACATCAAGTATCAATAGATTAATATACGAGATTCAAACCCACAATCCGCTTATTAGAAGTGAGATGCCTTTTCCATTAGGCCATCGGCGGTTTTACATCGTTGATAGCTGCATAAAAATTATGACTAAGTTATCCAAGTAATGTGGCAAAAAAAAAACTAACACTAAATTGATTTAATCCAACGTTGCATTTAGTACTTCCAGACTTTAGTACGCGCCAGTGAAGAAAGGAAATGTCAGTGTCACTTCCTCCCATCGCTTCCTCTCATCACTTAGGCTTTCATGGTTATCCCTATATCTGGGACAATCGTAGGAAAGCAGAGAGGTTTGTAGAAGAAAGATGGGATCGTTTTGTGGCAACAGATGAATGGCAAGAACTTTTCCCGAGGTTCGTGTGATCCACTTTGATCAAGAACGGTCAGATCATCGGCAACTAATATGTGACCCTCAGGGATAAGCTAGCATTGATGTTAAATTGGGTTGACACTTTAAATTCGAACCGCACTGGACTCGACATGACAGCTATAGACAAACCATTCAACAGGTCTGGTTGGTTGGGATCACGGGGATCATAGTAGGACGATGGAAAAGCTGGATGAATGTGGTGTGAAGCTTGATCAATGGAGCAAGGAGGCCTTCCCAAACTTTCGTATCCAGCGAGCAAAGATTAAGAAGGCTCTTTGATGACTCAATATTTACACATGTTTTTGTCCACCATTCTTATACTGTTTGAGGCTCGGATCTTGGGTTTTAAGCCGATTTTACGCTAGGTTGTTCTTGTTTATGACATTTCAGGTCCTAATGCGTGAATGAAGGTTTGAGCATGAGTTTGGGTTCGATTGGGCGAAGACGGGACGAGCGATGGAGAGTAGACGAGTTGCACGGCCAGTCAGGGAAGACGCATGGCCGTGCCTGGTGGCCGTGCAAGCGAAGATGCGCGACCAGGGTTTGCACGACTGTGCACGACTTAATTTCTGGCCGTGATGAATTCTGCGAGGAGCTGCACGGCCAGGCTCTCAGATTGCACGGGTCGTGCAATGGCCGTGCACTCCCCTCGCGGAACTAATTCAAACGTTGCATTTTGGTTGCACGGGCAGCCAAGGATGTTGCACAGCCGTGCGGCCTGACCGTGTATTCGCGGGCAGCTGCATTTTAACCCAATTTCGGGTTTTTGTAGAGAGGGAGATGGGTTTTGGATCCCAAACACCCAAAGGACGAACCCTAGAGAGAGAGAGCAACTTGGGATCATTCTTGGAGCTATTTTGGCGGATTTCTTCACCATTGAAGCTCGGGAATCAAGCTTGAAGATGGAGATTGAAAATCTAGATCTGATTTTTGCATTCTCTCTCTTCTCTATGGAGTAACTTCCCTTCACTTAGGTTTTGAGGAACCCTAGCCATGTTTGCTTGATTGGATAATTGTATGAGTACTCTTACTTGATAATCTTGAGTTCATATTCAATCTATGCATGTTTTCATGATTCAATCTGCCTTAGACGAGATTATTGATTCTGCTTTGATCCTATGAGAGCGAATACCTGATTAGGTCAATAAAGCACCATATATTGATAGTATTGGATCGATTGCTTTAGTCGAGGGTTGATTCACTACTTTGTATCGATTGAGAATCTCATTTACTGGAGAGATTCTAGTTCAGAACGCCTTGATCGGTTGTTTTAGAGAAGGATATGTCCCTCTAGGCAATTGACTCAAGAGGGCCTTGATCCTTTAGTCAAGATTCAATGTCTAGTCAAGGATTCTCCGCATTGTGAATGAAAGTGAAACAAGTTAAAGATCATCAATCATTAATCTGGCTAGTGGCTAGGGGGAATAATACCTAAGTGAGTTCCCAACCTGTAATTAGATTAACTTTAACTGTAGTTTGCTAGAGTAGTTGTAGTTCTTCTATTTTAATCTGGTTTGCTAGATAATGAACCGAAGCTGAGTAATAGTAACTCTAGAGACCCGTGGATTCCATATTTATTACTTGCACCACTATACTGCAGTCCCTTTCATTGGTTACACTTGGCCACTGTTAGAAGTTGTGTTTTAGCGAGTCACTCTTCGTAAACTTGACTGGATGCGCAACACAAATGCAATGTTAGATCAAGGAGGTCCCTGGAGTCAAAGTTGTCGCCCTAGATCACGATGAGGAACAATACTAGAAAGAGAGATCAATGTCCGATTGGCTAAAAGGTTGGGATAAGAACACTAACTTTTTCCACCACAAAGGCTCGACTACAAAGAAGAGGAACATAATAAAAAATGTTGAAGGCTGAATCCGAGAAATGGTACGTGGGATGTGAAGAGCTTTTTGCATGCAAGCATGTGTATTTCTCGCCCCTCTTCACCTCTGGTTTGCCACCAATATCAATGCTAGTTCTGGATTCCATTAATGAGGTAGTCACAAGGGAGGACAATGAGTTACTCCTTACGACATTCCAGCCTTAGAAATTTTATCTAGCTTTAAAGCAAATGGGAAAAAGGAAGGCCTCGGGGGCGGATGGCCTCTCTATTTTGTTCTACGGACAACATTGGCAAATCATAGGAGGCAAGGTAGCTTAAGTAGTTATCTCGTTTCTGAATGACGTTGCCTTTCTCGCTGGACTAAACCACACACTAATTGCCTTAATCCCGTTGGAGAAAACTTCATTGACACCAAAAGATTACATGCCAATTAGTTTATGCAATGTGATGTACAAATTGGCATCGAAAGTCTTGGATAATAAACTTAAATGAATTCTCGATAAGGTAATATTCCTCGAACTAGAGTACTTTTGTGTCTGGGCGCTTTACCATTGACAATGTCAAGGCAGCTTTTGAGTGCTTCCATGCATTAAAAACGAAAGAGAAGGGACAGTGTGGAGCTTTTGCAGCGAGGTGGGTGGAGTTGATAATGACGTGCGTAAGCACGGTGACATATTCAGTACTTGTGAATGGGTATCAGTCATAATGCATTATCCTCACGCGTGGCTTACGACAAGGAGACCCGTTATCTTCTTATTTGTTTCTGTTGTGTGTAGAAGGGTTGTCTGCATTCATGACCAAGCAGGAAGTTGAAGGGAAGGTCCATGGGATTGTTATTGCCAAGAATGCACCACCAATCTCCTATTTATTCTTCGCGAGTGATAGCATCTTCTCTAGGCATGGGACGATGGAGGAATGTGAGTCATTAAAGATTATCCTTGTGACCTATGAACTGGAATTGAACCAGCAAATCAACCTCCAGAAGTCCAAAATTTCTTTCTATGAGAAGGTCTCACATCAATGAAAGAAGGAGATCAAGGAGAGGTTGGTAATGACAATGATACATAAATATGGAAGAACTTTGACTTGCCAGACGAAGTGGGTTGATCCAAAAAAGAGGTATTTGCTAGCTTAGTGGATAAGATGCGAAAAAAGCTAAATGGGTGGAAAAAGAGCACCTTATATGTAGCTGCTAGAACTGTCTTAATTAAGTTAGTTGCCATGGCGCAACTCACACATGCTATAACGTTTCCAATCCCAGAAGGTATCATTTTAGAAGTATATCGCATAATTCGCAACTTTTGGTGGGACAAAGAAAGGAGTAATACTGCCTACATTGGGTCATCAAGGATGAGTTATGCCGCCTAAAGAAAGAGGGAGGAATTGGTTTTCGCGATCTAGTGGGGTTTAATACTCCCATGTTAGCGAAGCAACTTTGGAGTATCTACCAACGTCCAAGCTCCTTAATAGCTGTTGAGGGTAAGATACCATCAAAATGACGAGATCCTCGATGCTGAAGTGGGGTATCACCCGAGTTATATATGGTGATCCCTCATGAGTGCGCATGAGTTTCTTCGACAAGGCCTTCGTTGGGTTTTCGGGAATAGAGCATCAATTCGGGTTTGGGGGAATCGATGGATCCAAACGGTACTAGACTTTTTTGTTCCGTTAGCTCCCAAGGTACTGCCGGTGAACGCCAGAGGTTCCGGGACTTGATTAGGGTGGAGGAGGAAGCATGGGATGATGATCTCATAGAGCGGTGCTTCCCACCGGAGCCTGCAATCGTTCAGATTCCTCTTCGGGGGGTACTCATGACCAAGACAGAATTATGTGGGTGGATTCAAAGAGCGGTCAATACACAATCAAGGTAGGCTATAAGACATGGTCCCACATGAAGGCGATACTCTCTCAAGCGAACACGATTGGGGATGCCTAGAGTAGCAAAAGCTTATGGGGTTTAAATATGCCTCCGAAAGTGAAGTACTTTGTATGGAGATTCATCTGCAATGCATTGCCCATAGGAGCTAACTATTGTAGAAGGGACGAGAAAGGAAACGATCGATGTCCTTTCTGTAATCTTCCTGAGACACAAGTGCACTTATTCGGGGGAATGTGGATGGACGACGAGAATTTGGATGCAAACAAGTTTGTCTTACCTTTTTGTCAGTCACACCAACGAGAATTGTGTAGACTGGTTTGAAAAGGCGATTGTGCTTGGGGGCAGCAAGTAATTTGGGAAAATGGCTCGTGTTAATGTGGTTCCTATGGAAGGAATGAAATGCACAAATGCACAATGGATAGAAGATGGAGGAAGACCAGATTGTGGAGAGAGTAGAATCCTTCTTAAAGGACTACCACGTACACCAGGAAAGTGAGAACAACATGGAGGCGATTGTACATTCTGCGGCATGGATTCGTCCACCTGCAGAGGTGACGAAGATAAACATATATGCAGGAATGGTGATGGGAGGATGCATTTGTCTTGGTATGGTAGCATGAGATGATATTGGGACGTTTCATTTGTGATGCAGCCAAGAAAGTCCGAGAAAATTGGGAGCCAGAGGTAGCAAGGGCAATGGCGTTGGAGTTTGGCATCCAACTAGCGGACAACCTTCAAATTTTGAATTACCAGCTGGAGACAGACTGTCTATCCCTGGTGTAGAAGCTTTGCTGGTCAGACATAATCTTAACTGAGTTTGGAATGTTGTATGCAATTATCAAGAGGGCTTTGGGGCCTCGGTATGAAGGGAGAATCTAGTTTGTCCGAAGAATAGGGAATGAGGCGGGACATCTGATGACCAAATGTAATACGAATTGGAACACGGCAGTGGTTTGGCTAGATAGACCACCTTTAATTTTGATTGATCAGCTACGGCTGGATGATGTATGAACAATTCTTGATTAATAAAATTTCTCGCAGGTTTCTATTAAAAAAAAGCAATGACAAAGGGGCAACATGGGAAGTGGCGACGAAAAAAAAATACAAGCATACACACGCCCCGTATAGAAGCTTTGCTGATGTATGAAATTTCTCGCAGATTTCTATTAAAAAAAAACAATAATAGAGGGGCAATGATGGGAGTGGGGACGACAAAAAAAAATACAAGCATACACGCCCGGTGGGATTCGAACCCACAATCCCCTGATTAGAAGTCAGATGCCTTAATCCATTAGGCCACGGGCGCTTGTTATTTGTCATTATATCATAAGATAGAATTAAAAACAAAATCGTTAAATTCAAGTATTGTACTATTATTTTCCTCCGTGGCTAAAATATCACTAAGAAATCATCAAGCGAATAAAACAAATTGGGGAAACGACCAGACTGGATCGATCTCAGTCGGTGTAGTTAGAGACAACCGCACCGGGCAGTGCGGCCTTGGCCTCCGACGAAGGTTCTACACTAGGGGAAGGAGCAACCGGCTTCCCGAGAAGCTCACCGGGCAAATCAGGTATCCCTTTGAGGTAAAACGTGTAAAAAAGCTTGAATGGAAACACAATCTGGTGAAGCTTGACCTTCCCAGAAACCCCTTGGAAAATCCCAGTTCCTCCGGTCACCGCCAGGGAAGTGTCCTCGTAGGTCAGATACGGCCCCTGAACCGAGATGTGGCCGTAATCCCCGAAATGGAAGCTGTAGATTGCCTCGTAGCGATCCCCTTTCTTCTCCGGGACGTGCTGGATCGGCACGCAGATTCCGGCGGTGATCCCCAGCCGCTTCTTGAGGTCGCCGGAGTATAGCTTGTTGGAGAAAGGGACCAGGTCGCCGAGCGCGAGTTGACCAGGTTTCTGACTGAGTTTCAGCACCACTGGGCTTCCCCTGTCTCGCTCGTTCATCTCGTACACGTTCAGCTCTTGGACTTTGGACCCTGCCCCTGATGCTGCGAAACAAATCCAGTATGAAATCGACAGGCTTCATCATGATATAAATGGAAAGACACTGAGTGCCTGCAAGTTGAAAAGTTATTTGTAAGATTGTAACTTACTTGAGCTAGGAGCTTGAGCTGGAGACTTGGGTTTGGAGTTGAAGAAGAAAGCGGTGGTGACATTCTTCCTGGGTTTGGAGAAGCTGAGCTTATGGGTGGGGAAAACAGGGGAGTGAGTGAATTGGCCAAGCTGGGTTTGGGGTTTGAAAGGTGGAGTTAATGTAGATGATACAGAGTTTGTGAGTTTGGGAGAGGAAAGTGGATTGATGGAAGCCATTTCTTTTTGCTGATGCTGCCAAAGATGGAGCTGGTTTTTGGGTCGATATATAGATGGCTGAATGTTGAAGTCTTTGCTGGTAAAGGGTGGGAATAGGCGATGAAGTTATGGTTGAATTATGATTATTCTTAGTATGGGCACAACAACAACAACAAATGATACAAGTCGTTGGTTAGACAGTCTGGCCTGGGTACAAATCTTCTTTACTCGGATCCTCAACAGGCTTTATGTATTTATTCAAATAGATTGACTATTCTTTTTTGCTATTAGTCGTATGGTGGTGCTCCTCGTGCACCGTAAGAGATTAACTTAGATTATAACTTCTCATGGAGAATAGCTTTCTTGGGCATGGCTGTTTGTTAGATTACCAGTCAATTCCAAGGAGAGAAAAATTGTGAATGGAAGCTTCTGCACCTTTTCTCCTCGTCCTTGGATTGGAATTGTTGACTTTTACTTCCTCTTCTTCCTTAAAGTATATGTAATGTGCAGAATGTTGCGATGGCATCGTGGTCAATTGCAGAAGTGAAGTTTGATGTCAGCTGTTTGTGTGAACACAGGACTATGAAGATCAAACCAGATTATGGAGTTCAATGGCTTTTGGTAGCGAAATTATCTGAGTCATTTAGATAAATAGCCAAAATAGAGTTAACCAAAAGTGTACGTTCAAAAAGCAGTACTGCTGAGTTAATCATGCAGCAGCTAAGCTTCTGCTGTCAGTCATTACAAGAAATGTCCAGAATTGAACACCTCCAAACCAGAGTCAAAGAAACACATCAAATCATTGAAGTCCAACTAATCAGTAAATTCAATCAATCGTCCTAGATTTGTGTTCTAGATGCTGCTTCTGGAACTGGAATTCAATGAATCCTTGCATCACCTTGCTTCTCCATCCTTGAGCTGTAAGTCTTTCCAGAGCCTGCCTCTCTACGATATGTATTCTTCACCTCAGTTTTTTCGCCTGCCTGTAGATACTGACCCAGTCTGAGAGCTTAGCCTCTCTCGTGACTTACTTCCCTTCCCCTGGGCCGCAGCCAAATTGCAAAATCTGATGATGCTTGAGATGGAATAGAATGCCTGTCATCCATATCACAACACAACATACTCTACTCAGCTACCATGGACTGCCTCGGATCCTCCTCATTGCTACCAAAATGTCATCACAGTTAAAGGGTTTAGTGAGGTGAGAATCCATTCCAGCTTCAATTAATCTGTGTAGTTCTTGCTTTGATGTATGCCCTGTTACTCCTATAATAGGTGTGTGAATCCCATACTGTCTCTCCTCCTCCCTTATTGCTATCGTGGCTTCACGTCCATCCATCTTCTCCATCTGTAGTAACTCAACCAATAACATGGAACAGAAAACACAATTTTAGTAGTCTATGAGTTGTTATTATGTGAAAGAGTAATCAAGTTCATAAATCTATTCATCTTTCACCTCGCAGTCCATGATGATACAGTCGTAAGGAGGGACATGAGCAGTAGCTCCGCTCCTAGCTTGCTGTTCCATGCCAGCTTTAAAACGCTCCACAGCTTGCAACCCATTTTCACACTGCTCACACTTAGCTCCTCGCTTTGAAAGACTGGACGCCGATATAATCCGAATAGTCGCCTGATCATCTACAACCAAGAATGTCAGTCCATCCAAAGGCAGCTTCTTGTCACTGCCTAGGGGTTTCCCCACAACATCATCATGTTCTTCCTCAATCTCCGAGCGTCCAGCACCAACCCGAGGTGTGATGATCATCTGATGCCTTGCAGCAGCAGCAGAACTCCTCCAGTCTTCAAACGAATCCCTTGGTTGGTGTTGTTGCCTTGCTTTTGCCGGATTCTTGGAAAGCATGGTTGTCCCTTCAAACTTGGGCAGATATTTGATCACTTCATTCAGACAAGAACCATGAAATGGTTTCAGCAATATCTCATCGCTCGGATCTGTCAAGTCCTTGTCAACTCTTCTTGAATTGGGTTTATCAATCCAAACAACCTTGAAGCTAGAACTGTGAATCCCTCTTCGAAACTCTGTTACAACCTGCTGAAGTTCATGGAACGGTCCAGCACTAACATCAATCACAAGCATAACAAATTCTCCTGACCCGATTCTGCTGACGGTTTTTCCCTTGTTGGAAGAAGTCAGTCTCTCGTCCAAGTCTTTCATGGCACTCAAAGGAAATTCCTTTGATCTGCCACTGCTGGAGTTCACACTCCTTGAGCCCAACTCTGATTTTCCTGAAGAGCTGTGAGGAGAATAGCTCTGCTTGGACTTTATTTTTCTAAGCAAAGGTTGGAGGTTTTCCCATTGCTCCACAACTGATACCTTTATTCCCAACTTCACCATCAACTTCTGTGCAGCTGCTCGTCGTGCTTCGTTCTGAATCATGAGAACTACATGGGACTCGTCGCTTCGGGGACTAGGAACGAACATGGTCAAGCGTGGACTTGGGTTACAATTTGCCAAGCCTGGAGCAGCAGTTGAAGTTCTTATGGTAAGCCCTGTGTCATAGTGGTACTGGTTTCTCAGGTTACCATCTTCTGTGCTCCCATCACCTGATGTCTCTATGTCTCTTGTGTTATTATTATGATAATTAGTATTCTCAGTCACAGTAAGGATGGTATTGAACCTGAAGCAAGTTCCCTTTTCGTCTTTCTTATCGACAATTCCGATTTCACCACCCATTAGTCGCACCTGTTTCACAGAAAATTTGTATATGGGTTGAGAAAGACGAGAACATTTTGGTTGTCAAGAAAGTAGGCACAATTGTTTAGTTCAGTAACTCACCAAAGATTGAACGATGCCAAGTCCTAAGCCAGTGCCAACTTGCCCCTTAGAAGTTTCTTTCACTTGAACATAATTTTCAAATATCGATTTCTGCTTGTCTTTAGGAATTCCTTTACCAGAATCATCAACCTCAAAAACAAACTCCATCCCATTAGGAATCATCTGCTTCACTGTGCTCACATCATCTTCCATGTTAGTACCTTCTTCTCCAAGGTTCCACTTGAGCAATTTCGACACCCATTTGGAGCAACCGTCTGGATGAGAAGCTATGATCCGGCTCTCCAAACTTGGTTGTTGGGCCTTGGCATGTACCACGATTTGCCCTTCGTCAGTGTACTTCACAGCATTGCTCACCAAGTTCCATAGCACCTGTTTCAGCTTTCCCCTGTCACCTCTTACATGACCAAACTTGAGAATCGAGACATCTGAAAGATCTAGCACCAGATCTACGCCTTTTTCCATGGCTATAGGATGAAATAAATTGACCACATCCTCAAGAACTTCTGCTACCTCAAATTCTTCTTCTTCCAGCTGCATCTTGCCTTCTTCAAGCTTGCTTGTGTCCAGAATGGCATTTAAGAAGCCTGAATAATAATGAAAGCAGCAGTGTCATGAATTAATGATGAATCTCTTTTCCAACCAACCTCATTTCCATTTTCCAAATCCTTACCTACTAGGTCCTTTGTGGAATCATGAATGGCTTTCAGGTTTGTTTCTGTAGCTAAATTTGGAGGCAAATCCTCATTACAGTCCTGTATGAAACCAACAATGGGTGTCAACAAGTTACGAATCTCGTGACTTGCAGTGGCAAAGGCAAGACTCTTCTTCAAAGACTTTCTCTCAGCTTGTTGAGTGGCTTCCATTTGCTTTATCAATCCTCTACACAGTTGTGTCTCTCTTATCTCAGCCCTTGCTATGAGCAGAAGAAAGGCAAAGATTGAGATGAAAACTGCAGCTATCATTATGATCAACAGGCCGAAAGCAAAGCTTCTCCCCCTACGAACTGCAGCACTTCCCTGTGGCTCGTCATTTGGAAAAGCCAATGCATAGACCTGAAGTGAAATAATAATTTAATAACATCTGTAAAAGCATTCTATGAGGGAATCCAAAGATGTTCTCTTCTGTTTCTCAAGAAAAAAAGATCATTCACTTACTGATTCAACTCCAACAACTTCAATCGAGGAACAATATACTTGGTACTCTTGTTTTCCAATGTTGAGAACTGATGGTACAGTCAGTGTTCCAGCCCCCAGAACGCAGGTAACATTATTGCCTGCAACAGCAATGGATATTGAATTGCCATTGCTGGCTGCAATATGAGATTCTGGAATCCCTTCTAAAAGCACTTGATTGCTATCTCTAGTGGCCAATTGCAACTTCCCACCGTGAAGGTCAATGCTAGCAAAGAAATGCATGAGAGTTTCTGCTGAAATCCCCAGCAAGACTGTCGCTTTACGATGCACACCAACCATGGTGATGAACATGAGGTCATCATCTTCAGCACCACTGTTCCATCCTTTGTCCACTAAAGCATGCTGCTGGTTGCTACTGTTCAAAGCTTCTCGAGCCCACCTCATGATGGCAACAATTGGGAAGCTGGATTTCTTAGCATTTCCATACAGTTTTCCTGTGTTTGAATCAACCCGCTGCTTATAAACCGTGTTGCCCCCATAGTACATTGCAGAACTTTGGTTACCCTCGTAGTAGTACGAGAAGAAAGGGCCGTCTAATCCCACATATGCAATCTGTGATATGTAAGGGAGTGCTGAGAATGCCTGGAACAACAAAGGAGCCACCTTTTCGATCGGGAACAACCAAAAGCAATCAGTTAATGAAGGAACTCCATGAGTATACATTTTTCTATGAAACTAGCATAGATGTAATGGAATTTACCTTGGCTTGAACGTCAGGTTGTGAGAAATTAGTAGTTGCATTAAGTGAAGAACGCATCATTTTAGCCAAATGCAGGGCAGGTAAGTTGAACTGCTGAAGCAGCTTAGCTGTTTGCTCAATCTGAGACATCAACCCAGAATGGAAGTTGTTGGAGTTGGCTTCCACCATGTCGCGACCATTACATGATTACGAGTGTGGGGAGTCTTTCCGCGCTACTGAAATACCCCAGCAGTCATAGGAGAGGCTCTAGACCGCCTCCGAATAATACTTCCTCAAATGCATTCCGTTCCAAGTTTTGGAGACGGGATCGCCCTCCATGGTGGCGAGTCTGAAGGTATTGGGACCTGTCTTTTCTCCGATGAGGAACGGGCCTTCCCAGGTGGCGGCCAGTTTTCCGTGCTCGTCTTTCTTCTGGAAATCTCTTTTGAGTACCATATCTCCTTCCTCAAGGGGGCGTGGCTTCACTCTCTTGTTGAAAGAGGCGGCCACCTTTGCCTTTTCGCTGAGGATGCGCTCAAGAGCCGCATCTCTGCGGGACTCAACCATGTCCAACTGCTCCAGGAGCTTCTGGTGGTTGGACTCCGGGTCGTATGCTTGGACACGGAGGGAGGGGAGATTCAACTCCTCGGGGGCGACCGCTTCAGAACCATATGTTAGAGCGAACGGGGTTTCGCCCGTAGCGGTCTTGTGGGTCGTGCGGTGCGCTCACAGGATATGTGGGAGTTCGCTTACCCATGCCCCTTTGGCGTCCTTTAGACGCCTCTTTAGCCCTTGTAGGATCAGCTTGTTGGATGCTTCAGCTTGGCCGTTCGTCTGCGGATATGCCACGGAGGCCATTGTGCATGTGATGCGGTTTCTGGCACAGAAATTTTCGAACGGCCTGCAGTCGAATTGCGTACCGTGGTCGGTGACGATTGACTGCGGGATGCCAAAGCGGATCATGATATTGTTGAACACGAACTTCTGCACTCGGGCACTCGTGATCGTTTCCAGCGGTTCGGCCTCTATCCATTTGGTGAAGTAATCCACCGCTACCACCAAATACTTTTTTCCCAACGGAGCCATGGGAAAAGGACCTAGAAGATCGAGACCCCATCTAGCGAACGGCCAGGGTCCCACGACGCTTTGTAGCTCGGAGCTAGGCAGGTGATGTTTGGAGGCATGGACTTGGCACGCATGGCATTTCCTAACGATGTCTGAAGCATCTTTCTTGACCGTGGGCCAATAGTACCCCTGCAGGAGGATCGTTCTCTCGAGCGACCTGGGACCCGCATGTGTCGCGCACGTTCCCTCGTGGATCGCTCGAAGCGTCCACTTTGCTTCTTCTGGACCGAGGCACTTCAGGTAGGCGCCGGAGAACGATCTTTTGCAAAGTTGCCCCTCCACGATGGTGTACCTTACCGCCTTTCGTTTGAGCGCTTTCCGCTCAACTGGGTGTTGTGGGGTGATATCATGTTCCAAGTATTGGAATAGGGACGTTCTCCAGTCTGACGCGTCTCCTATTGCCATTACTTCTCCTGGGAGGTCCCCTTCTTTAGTAACCGTGACGCGGCGGTCGCCTTCGAAGTCCATAGCGGTCGCCAGCTTGGAGAGCGCATCGGCATGTTGGTTATCGTCCCTTCGAACGTGTTCGAGCTTCCAGGAGCTTAGCTGTGCTAGGGCGCTCTTGACCTTGCCGGCTAGGACAGCTAGTGTCTCATCCTTGATTTCGAATGCCTCATGTATTTGCTGCACCACCAGGAGGGAATCAGAATAGATATGCACGTCGGATGCGCCAAGATTGGTGAGCACTGCAAGTCCGCTGATGAGGGCTTCGTATTCGGCGGCGTTGTTGGTCTTGATGTCCTTGAACCGCAGAGAAATTTCATGGATGACTCCGTCGGGCGACTCTATGACTATCCCTGCCCCTGAGGCGGTTTTTCCCGCAGCTCCGTCAACGTGAAGACGCCAGATCTGGTTGCGCTCACTGGAGGGAGGGGAGATGATAGAGAAGCCTTCTGCGATGAAATCGGCTAGGACTTGACCCTTAATGGCTGGCCTTGGGGCATACTCAATGTCATACTCGCTGAGTTCGACCGCCCACTTTGTCAGTCTTCCTGATGCGTCCATACCCCGCATGACACTTTTGAGAGGCAGATTGGTTAGCACCGTGATGGGATGGCCCTGGAAATATGGTCTTAGCTTTCTGGCCGCTGAGGCGATGGCGAGGACCGCTTTTTCGACCGGCATGTATCTTGTCTCGGCGGGTAGGAGCGCTTTGCTCACGTAGTAGACGGGTTGGTCGGAGCCGTCTTGCGCTCTTCGTACTAAGGCAGAGCTTACAGCCTGTTCCGACACCGCGAGGTAGAGATAAAGCCGCTCGCCGCCTACAGGGGCGCTTAAGATTGGAGGAGAGCTGAGTTGGCTTGTCAGTAGAGCGAAAGCTTTGTCAAATTCGGCTCCCCACTGAAGTCTTGAGGCTGACTTCTTCAGCATTTTGAAGAAAGGGGAGCACTTGTCTGCAGACCGCGGAATGAATCTTCCTAATGCGGCCATCTTGCCGTTGAACGCCTGGATTTCCTTGATTGTCTTCGGAGGCTCTAGGTTGCGGATAGCCTTGATCTGCTTTGGGTTGGCTTCTATTCCTCGCTTTGTGATCATGAAGCCGAGGAATTTTCCCGCTTCAGCCCCGAAGACGCATTTGAGTGGATTGAGCCTCAGATTCTTCTGTCTCATGGTTTCGAAGGTCTCCCGTAGGTCGGAGAGGTGGTCGCTGGCCTTCTTGCTCTTGACTAGCACGTCATCAACGTAAGCTTCCACATTCCTTCCCATTTGATCTCGGAAGACCGCGTCCACCATTCGTTGATAGGTCGCCCCTGCGTTCTCGAGTCCGAAGGGCATGACCACATAGCAAAAGTTGCCCATCGGGGTCATGAAGGCGGTTGCTTCTTGGTCGCCCTCCGCCATCTTGATCTGATGGTACCCCGAAAACATGTCAAGGAAGCTGAGCGCTCCATGGTTGGCGGTCCCATCGATCAACTGGTCGATGCGCGGGAGAGGGTATGCATCCTTAGGGCAAGCCGCATTGAGGCTGGTGAAGTCGATACACATTCGCCAGGTGCCCCCTGCTTTGCGTACGAAGACTGGGTTTGAAAGCCACGTGGGGTATTTTACCTCTCGGATGAACCCCGCTTTGAGCAGTCTTCGAACTTCCTCCTCGAGAGCCATTTGCTTCTCAACGGATAGGTGTCTTCTCCGCTGTTGTATCGGCCGTGCTTTGCTTTTGATAGAGAGGTGGTGTTCAGAGACCTTTCGGGGGACGCCGGGCATGTCTTCCGGTCCCCACGCGAAGAGGTCTTGGTACTCTCGGAGGAGTGTCAGTAGTTTCCGGGCTTCTTCAGCGGCCAGATGTGCTGAGATGCCGACGGTCTTGTCTGGTTGTTCTTCGTGTAGGGGGACCGCAATATCTCCCTCTACGGCTTCAGGTCGGGGAACGTCGTCTCTGGCGTCGACGAGGCCGACTTCCAGGCGTTCAATGGTTGCTTGATAGCACTCCTTTGCCTCTTTCGCGTTGCCTCGGACGCGTCCTGTCTGCCCTCCACTTGGAAATTTCAGCATTTGATGGCATGTGGAAGCAACCGCCTCGAATGAGGCCAGGAAACCGCGTCCCAGGATGGCATTGTAAGCTGAAGGACAATCCGCCACATGGAACTCCACCTGCTTGGTTTTGGTGATCCCTCCTTCGCCTATGGTGACCTTGAGTGTGATTGATCCAAGGACACGGACCTTCGTCCCCGAAAACCCTACTAAGCTGGTGTTGGAGGGGTTGAGGTCTTGGATACTCTTCTTCATGCCTCGGAGTGCTGAGTAGAAGAGGATATCGGCGGAGCTCCCATTGTCGACGAGGGCTCTTGTGACTTTGAACTTGTCGGTTCGGAACGAGATGACTAAGGGGTCTTCTGAGTTCTCCTCTTTGGCTAGCTCTGAAGGTAGGAAGGTGACGTCCGACGGTACCTGGCGTTGGACGCTTAAGCAGTGGCTTAGGCGGTCGGCCTCCGTTCTGGGCCGCTTCCTACCTCCTGCGATCGTAATGATCTCCATGCCATCGTCGTCTCCCCTTGGGGGTCGATATGCCGGAGACTGCCTCTGTGGCGAGGCGTTCTTGTTTCTTGTGGGCGATCTGGACCTCTCTTTACGAGCTCTTCTTGGTTTGTCCGACTCCGGGCTGAGGGAATCTTCCCTTCCCTCTTGAGAGTTGCCCCGATGGCTTCGTCGTGTTTCGAGGCGGTTACGCAGATCCCCAGGAGCTAAGTACTTCAAGCTGGCTTTGAACTCCCGGCACTCCGTTGTGTCATGAGTCGCCATTTGATGCCAGTCACACCACTTTTTTCCTTCTTGTGGTTCTTGCCCGGAGGACGCTTCCGGTTTTCTCCCGCTCCTTCGTCTTTCTCTTCCTCTTTCTCGTTCGGTGGAGTAGACTTCTCTTTTACCGTCGCGGTCTGCGTACCGGTTTCGATATGATTTCCGTTCAGGAGACCGCCTTCCTCGTCGAGCGTCCGACCGCTCTTGCGGGTCGCTTCGGGATCGCCCTTGATGGCTCCTGTCGTCAGTGGCGAGAGCCTCTTCAAGTAAGATGGCTCTTCTTACCAATTGATCTAAGTCTGACCATGACGTTAACATGGCCTCCTTTTTTATCAACGTTCTCTTGAGCTCGATGCTGGTCGTTGATATCCTGAGGTTTCCGGCGGCTACGACCGAAGAGATCCCGTCGATTTTGCATGCGATCGCATTCCATCGGTCGTAGAACTCCGCAAGCGGTTCCTCTTTCTTCTGTCTGCAATTCATGAGTGCCGAGACCGTGAGTTTGCGGCGCCGTTGGGACGCGAACTTTGTGGAGAAAAGCATCGCGAATTGCTCGAAGTTTTCTATCACCCCTTCTGGGAGGGAAGTATACCACGTCCGGCATTGACCGCTGAAGGTGACGGGAAACGCGCGGCACAAATCAGAGTCTGTGGCGTTGATGAGTTGCATCTTCAACATGAAAGCGCAAAGGTGGTCGGCGGGATCTGAGGTCCCGTTGTACGAGGGTAGCCCAAGAGAGGAGAAATTGGGCGGTACTGGGGTTTTGAACAGCTCCTTAGAGAGCGGAT